CACGTCCCTGAAAATCTATCGTGAGAGGGCCCCGTTCGCAACTTGAAGACGAGGCTGAGGGGTGGAATCGTAGTAAGAAAAAAAAGGACCATTGATACGTCTGGATGAAACAGTGGTTCGAGCTCGCAGCATGAGTCATGTTTGAATAGGTATCGGCTTATTCATAGTAGTATCAAGGTATCTCTTACACTGCGTCGAAGCTGACAAGCTCCGCCGTATGCCAGCAGCATTTTTCATCTTACCTAAACGCCTGCCATAGACTTCAACCCTAAAGACACGCCCTCCCTTTCGTCTCAATGCATCATGCCAAGAATGGAAAGAAGAAAAAAACTGAAGGAATCTTACGCAGCAAGATTCTCCTCGTTTCGAGGACCCGCGTCGTACTCGGTTCCCTGATTCGCGGTGGCCAGCCTCGCGCAGAGACTCAGCAGGACAACCGTCTCCGTCGCCGCGTAGTGATTCAACGCGTCCATCAGAATTTGCAAGTGCCGACTGAAGTTCCTCTCCCAATTCCCAATGAGGTCAAACAGGTTGTTGATCCGCGACTCCTCATCCTGCAGCTGACTGCTTCCGCTGTCGTTATGCGACTTCTGGGACTTGACGGCCTGGTATCGTTTCCATTCCTTGTCCGTCATATTGGGCGGTTGTATAGGGCCGATCAAGTCGGGATCAGACTTTTCGAGCTCGCGCGACAGCCAGTTCATGTGAGCGGCGAACGCAATGCAGGTCTGCATGAGTTTCGAGTGGATCTGAGACAGTGTGAGCACATGCGCTATAACCGCGATACTTGGAAAACACTCACTCGAATGAGCTTGCCGTTGGTGAGCATGCAACCCTTCAGGCAAGTATCCAGGAAATCCACATGGTCCTGCATCAACTCGTCCACCGTCCGATCCGGCTTACCCGAGCCATCCAAACTACCATCCTTGGCTTTGAGCCTCGACATTAGGGACTGCCAGTTCGGTTCGATGACTTCGAGAGTGCAGAAGTAGAGCAGCTGTTGAACAAACACTATCATTCGAGCCCTCAGAGTCCATACTCGCCTCTTCCAAATCTCGACCCGTCTCATTGACGACTTATGACGCCAGACAACCCCCGTGTTGTGAGTCTGCCATGTAGTTGATAACTGCAACTCTAAATACCTCAACGAGAGCAGATAGCGGAATAATGCTTGATACCGCCATACTGTTCTTCGGCTGATAACCAATGATACGGGAAACGGGACAGTATAGTCCAGCTGTAGTGAGGTAAAACCAACCGCGTTCGGATCCATTTCGGTAGGTTGATTGGTCAAAGGTTGTAACGTCTCGCCCTGCTCGATACCGGTAATATTGACAACGCGCTGCAACATTTTTATAAGGCTGACTTCATTCATCTCAATATGAACGTCTTCCTTGAACGGATCTAAAGACACGATGCTTCCCGGCTGTCGTAGCACGAGATCGAGTAGCGACTGCAGTTTGACGGTGTTAACAGACTTGACTGGCTTGCGCAACTCTGACGTGCTGAGTTCCATGAAGTAAGTGAAATAATCAGATGGATCAAGGAAGAAATAATGCTTCAGTGACCGCAACCTTGCCGGAAGGGCATGCGTGGTCAACAGCAACTTCATGAGCGATTCGTTCGCGTGGGAATAAGCGTTGTTGACATTGTCTAAGAATCGAGGGTCGTCGAAAGACTTGGGAATGTCCTGGACAACCTTGCTAACATCGACTCCTCCACATTCCCGCACGACGTTCAGATACTTCCCTGCTAGGAGAACTTTGTCTTTGACGCCTTGCAGCTGCGGAGGTATATCGTGCTCTCGAATAGTATATCTCCTTCCCCAGTAGTCGTCGATGTAGTCCTGTTCCAACATGTCGCGTCTGATACTCGCCTGTTCTTTGATGAGAAATTCGGAATGCGGGTCTCTGATCTCGCCGTGGTGCATCCATTCATTGAGCATAGCCATATACGGCCTACTCGCATCACGGAGTAGAGACGTCAGTAAGGATCTGGCGGCAGGATCTCCAGACATGGTTTCCAATCTCTTGGTGATCAGGCCGATGGCCACGCCGCCCTTGCAGACCTTCTTTCCGGTCATATTCCCTGGCATGAGGTCCCCACCTCTCTTTAAGTTCTCAAGGACTTTCTCAATGTCGTCAGGATCGGAGTCTTCCTCGCTCTCGTCGTCTAGAAGTGCATTCCTCTTGAGAAACTCATGCGCCAGCGAATAAAGCTGGAGCATCATCTGACTTGTAGGGAGAGTGTGAACATTGAGGAGGTGTAGGGTAAAGGTATCGTTAGTTAGGAATTGCGTCTCCAACTGAGCGATCATTATTAGATAATCCTGTAAAAGCTTCCTGATGGCAGCGCATAAGGCATGGTTGACAGCGCCAAACTCATCCCTGCTCTGTACGTCGACAAAAGTCTCTAGAGCGGAGTAATGGGTTGCCATCTTTAGCATTGACATTGTTAAATCCTGTAAACTGGGGTCGAGACCAGGCTGTATCTTGAAATCAGGACCTGCTAGTCGGTCTCTTTCCTCGGTGGGGTCATATGAGTAGGCATATCGAATATACTGTCCCTCATAACCCATGAATACAAATAACAAATCCTCGATCATAGCCGCCTCTTGGGCTTCTAAGGACAGCTCGTGCAGAGGCTGCGGCTGTAGTGATTGCGGCGCATCTGAGGCCGAAGGTGGTATTGAAACACGAATCGCAAGGGGCGCAGATGTGTGTGGTGTTAAACTAACTATGGGATCCCATATCGCTATAACAAGTAGATATTAGTCTCAGCCCTCTCGACAGACATAATATTACTTAGACATACCGGGCGGCGCATCAGGCTTTGCATCCTTTGTCTTCGCCTCCGACTGACGAGGCTTGGTAGGTTCTTTTGATCTTCGTTTTTCTGAAGGCGCATCCCTCGGTCGTCGATCGGGACTCTTCGTTCGCGAAATCAACTTCTCCTTAGTAGTCACGGTTACGCGCTCGGTTCTTCGTTCTTCGGTACTCCTACTAGCAGGTCGCGGGTTACCTGAAGCGGTCCGCTTATGCGCAGGATTGGTAAATGACGACTGCGGTGATCGCGTACTTCGCTGCTCGTGCTGGGATCCTCTAGATGCATGGCCTGAGGCGCGAGGTCGCTGGTTGCTATCATCGGTGGTGCCGTTTGTGCGCCTCTCTGAATAAGAGACCTTGGAAGACATGTTCACGAGATAGCGACATCGGGAACGTTTTTATGTCATGGTATCATGGGTTGGCTTGACGCATTGATTTATTGGGTTGAACTATTGTATCTAGGGGGAAGCCGAAGCTTTAGGTGGGAGTAGGGAGGTTTAAAGTTGTATGCTTTATCGATTGGGCCGTTGGCCAAGTCGCGTCGAGGTCGAGTCAATTAGGCGCGTTTCGTAGTGTACGCTACGCCCTGCTAAGTAAGCGTTAGATGCTGGGTCTTATCGATAAGCACAGCCAATTGGGTGGTCAGAGCTTGAATCCTTGTTAATCCCCGGTTAGTGCAAACGCCCACCTGAGCTACGTAAACGGTGTAGCAGCCTTGAGCTCCAGAGCTTAACCATTCAGCATTCAGCCTTCCACTCCCGACTTCAACTACAACCTCGCCAGCAACTGAACCAACTGTAAACGACCACACAACTTCCGAGACAGCATACCATAATATACCCCGACTTTAGTAACAGTGCTCCTAGAAATCAGTCAAGATGTTTATGGCAAGATCTGAATATGGTAAGCATCTCTATGCCTTCCCCTCCGAGCTCTGAAAGCTAATCGTAATATAGACCGGGGTATCAAGTACGAGCTTTCTTCCGTCTTCCCTCTCACGATGACAATAGACTAACCCCTCGATTACAGCACCTTCTCCCCCGAAGGCCGTCTCTTCCAGGTCGAATACTCGCTCGAAGCCATCAAGCTAGGCTCGACAGCCATAGGAGTCGCGACGTCGGAAGGCGTGGTGCTGGGCGTAGAGAAGCGGGTGACGTCGACGCTTTTGGAGACGTCATCCGTTGAGAAGATCGTGGAGATCGACCGGCACATTGGGTGCGCGATGTCGGGCCTGCAGGCGGATGCCCGCAGCATGGTCGAGCACGCGCGCGTCGAGTGCCAGAGCCACGCGTTCAACTACAACGAGGACCTGCGCGTCGAGAGCTGCACCCAGGCCATCTGCGACCTGGCCCTGCGCTTCGGCGAGAGCGCCGACGGCGAGGAGAGCATCATGAGCCGCCCCTTCGGCGTCGCCCTCCTCATCGCCGGCTACGACGAGGACGGCCCCCAGCTCTACCACGCCGAGCCCAGCGGCACCTTCTACCGCTACGACGCCAAGGCCATCGGGTCCGGAAGCGAGGGCGCCCAGGCCGAGCTGCAGAACGAGTACCACAAGGTGAGAGATCTGTATCACGAGCTATGAACCTGGCTAACTATATGTATAGTCCCTTACGATTGAAGACGCCGAGACGCTGGTCTTGAAGACGCTGAAGCAGGTGATGGAGGAGAAGCTCGATTCCAAGAACGTGCAGCTGGCGAGCGTGACCAAGGAGCGGGGCTTCAGGATATACACGGATGAGGAGATGGCCAAGGTTGTGGAAAGACTACCGGCAAATTAGACGCCGTGATCATGATGTGAAACGTGTAGTAGCAAAAAAACACATTTAGATCAGGGGTTAGAATAAGAGGGTCTTACCCTGCTAAACTTGGTGGGCATTCTAAGCAATTATCACCAAGTTTGCTGTACTATTCTATACTAACAACTGGTGCCTCACCGAGTGTTTCCTCTTTTCTCTTAACATCTAAGCACGTACGTCAAGTCCCGGTCCTCGCAATCTGTACACGTTTGCCAGTATATACATAAATTCGTCCCCTTCTCTCATCTTCTACGGAGAAAAAGAGTTGCCGGATTTTGACCCCGGGGTGGCGGCCTACTCGGGCTAGAAAGGTTATATATCAGAATAGAACACACTCTTTTAATCAGACGGCCAACACAAAAGTACTCAACTTTTACCTACTAGGGAAGTCTAATGGTCACGACGCCGGAGAGGGTCTGCATTCAAAGAAGAAGAAGAAATGTGCGATATTATTCTACCGGAGATGCCAGTTCGAATCTGGCCCCTAGCAAACTATTCTTTTTCTCTTTTTGAACCTTTTTTTTTTTTTTAAATTCATTCATTCCCCACCCATTTTCTCTCTTCCATTCCTTGTTCTCGTCTATCCTTCACTCCCTTGCTTTATTTATCCTAACCCATCGATCCACCTATCCACATATGCAAACTCCCAACCTCCCTACCTCCCTACCCCCCTACCTCACGAGCTAGGAAATCTCTACTCTCTACCGCACCAATGCCATCCACTCCACCCCTCCTCTCGCCTACCCGTCCATCTATCTACCCCCTCGACCTCTCGCTAGACTCGAGATCGAGCCTCTCGAGGTCGTGCTCGACGGCGAGGAGGCCCATGGCGTAGTACGCCTTCTCGGCCTTGGCGAGCACGATCTTCGACCCGTCGTCCTCGACCTCCTGGATGCGGCGGTCGAGGCGGCGCGCGTTGACCCAGACGGAGCCCGGGGGGTCGACGTCGCGCGCCCGCGTGTAGGGCGGGCCCCGCCCCAGCTGCGCCGCCTTGGTCCACGCCGACTCGCAGCCCACGGCGATCTGCCGCGCCGACTGCCACCCCGTCAGCCGCGCGATGTCGTGCAGCCGCTGGATGACCCACTGCCGCTGGGGGTCGTCGCGGTACTGTTTTGTCTCTCGCATTAGTGTCTAACGGTTTTGGCTAGCACAATGACAGGAAAAGAAAAAAAGAAAAAAAGAAAAAAAAAGAGGGGACATGGGATTGATTTATTTACCTGGATCCCGGCTACGAAGAGCGGGAAGCAGCACTCGATGAGGGCCGAGGCCATGAGCGTGCTCACGTTGGTCAGCTGCCCGATGTTCTCCTCGAGGCCCGCGGCGATCCGGCCCACCTCCATGCAGTAGCCGGCCGTGGTGCGGGCCGAGAGGCCGGCCGCGACCATGGCGATGGGCGGCATGGTGGGGTGGGCGCGGTGCAGCACGATCAGCCCCATGTAGTAGTTCATCCAGATGCCGGCGATGGAGTAGGTGCGGTAGTGGGCGGCGAGGCCGAACGGCGTCGGCTTGGCCGGGTACACGTCGATGCCGAGGGGCTCGAACTCGGGGCCGAAGTGCTCCTTGAAGGTCTCGAAGGCTTGCTTGATCCCTTCCCACTCGCGGTACGCCTCGGCGGTGCTAGCGTCGAGGTCGTCGATGCGCTCGGAGGATTCGCCAGGCGTCTGCGGCGTGTCCCTCGGAGGCGTGAAGCCCCTCGGATACACGAACTTCTCGGGGTGGCGGGGCACCATGCCCGGGAACATGTTGGGCGAGCCCCCGCGGCCGGGGTTCGCCTTGAACACCTCTCGCTTGCGGGTGAGATCTTTCGACGTGAAGTCCGCCAAGCGGCCAAGCAGGAGTACCAGGTGGTCGTACGTGCCATATCTGCAGGCGTCAGTGTTACTTCATCTAGCGAGTGAGGTGAGACGGTAGACCAACATGGCGTCGAGTCTTCCCATTGGTGCCCTTGGCGGGCATTGCGTCCATACGTTATACTCGAGGCTTGGGTTTGTCAGCACGGTCGTGTCCCTGTGTGCCAGGAGTGCGCACAGCATTTACGTGCGGAACTTACAAGAGTCGGGTTCCCCCCAGGATGCTCTGGTAGACGTCCATTTTGCAATACCACCAGAAAAGGTCGCTCAGCTGCTCATACCTCTCCATGTCCTTCCCCGTATAGTTATTCCTCGGCCTACGATACGCGCTTTGCGCTTCGGGCAGCATCCCCAGGTCGTCGAACGAAATATCTCCACCGGTTAACGCCCTCAACAGCGGCACGTCGATCAGATCCCAGTCTTTGTGCAGAGGACCCGACTCCTCGTACGATGCAAACATGCCGAAAGTGTCCATCGAAGCCTGTTCCATATCCTGCAGTCTCTTTTGCATCTTGATAGCCATCATGGCGCGTGTCATCTCGGCATACGGGATTTCTTTGATGATCAGACGCGCTCCCAGCAGGTGCCTACTCCACTTGTCATGATCGGAACTCCACACCTCATAGAACGCCAGCACAAGCGTTGCCGCGAGGTTCGAGGGCTGAGCGCGCCTAGCTGGACGGCCGACATTCCGTGCGATTCTTCTCAGAGCCAAGTGATAGTGCTTAAGAGACGCCGTCGGCGGGACGGCTTGGAGTTTCGCGATCTGCAGGCTTGCGATGGCGAGGATCGCGTGGAGGAGACCCGGATGGGTGAATGATAAAATAGGGAATGTGTCTAGATAAGTCAGGATGGGCAGCCGGTGTGAGGAGCAGGGGTCAACGTACAAGTCCATATATGCTGACGGGCCTTCGGGATGGGCTGTCCTACAAAGATCGGTGTCGGGTCGAAAGGATGCCTCTCGTATAAAGATATACTTGGTCCGGTTACGTTCACAAAGTGCCAGAACACCGCCGCGATTTGACTGTCATTCAAAGGCGAATTGGACGCTGAAGGCTCGTACGTCGCAAGGAAGCTCTCTGGTGCGAACGCCGAAAACGTTCTCGTCTCGGTTCCAAACATGTCAAAGGACTGGTCGGGTCTCTGGAACGCAACCACCTCGTTGAACTCGGACGAGCCGTGCTGCTCATTAATCGCCACATCATCAGACTCAGCCATGGACTCATCGTCCGAAGCCTGGTATTCCCATTCTTCAGACGCCGGCACTACGACCTGTACCGGTTCTTCGGGTTCGGCACGGGCTTTGCCTTTGTCTAGCTGGGAATGGCTCGGCTGCTGTTGCGGCTGCTCAGGAGGGATATTCTGGGCAAAGTTCCCGGGAGCGACGGACGAGAACTGGTTGAAATCCGGAGGCAGATCCTGCCTCCACTGATGCTGCGAGAATGCATCGACAGTAGTTGGCGGAAAGAAAGTATACTTGGATGGCGCAGGCTGTATCCCGATTCCGGTTGGATCGTTGAAATTCAATGGAGGCGACGTAGTCTGCCCCTGGCCGGGATAGAACTGGGCTCCGTATCCCAAAGGTGGAGGCTTCGGGGCGATGATCTGTAAGGCCTGTGACGAAGACTTTTGCGCTGCTGTCAGTTGCTCTCTTACTAGCGCTTGGGGAGAGGGCGCCGGATAATGAATTGGACCAAAGGGGGCGTTGGAGAAGGCGCCAAGAGGATCCTTGAAGACGACTCGTTGGTTATAGCCTTCGCATTGTCGCTTCGATTTCAAGCAGTTGTTACATGTCGGTCTCCCCTCGTCACATTTAATTCGTCGCTTTCGACATGCTTAATGGTAGTTAGCGTATGTCACCTTAAACCTACAGTAACCGAATTGGAAGAAAAAAGAATACGAAGGGAAAACTACGCACTAAGGCAGCCCGTCTTGGTGCGCTTCCGGGCGGCGGTCTTCTTGGGCGCCGCATTCTCGTCGTCTTTCTCTTCCGGCGTCGATGGCCTAGGAGGTTGAGGCCCCGAAGAACCATCCCCAGACGCATTGTCTGTAGAATCCATCCTAGCAGATGGTCGGCTTTCGTCTGATCTAGTAGTAAATGGTTATCTGTGCGGTCTAGCCGTTTCAAATATCAAACTTTCACATGGTATATTCAGACGAAAGGCCCGATTCGGGGCTAGGGAACGTGCCGACTACAGAATGGCGCCGAGCATCTCGGGACCTCTCTGGGGTAGTGGATGTTGCCCGAACACGAAGTGAGGCTACGATAGCTCCGACGGCCTAGTCTAGTATTTGGGCCCGGGAACAGAATTGATAGTACGATGTAGCTTCCGAGGATCCGAGTGGCCAGTAGGATATGGTATTCAAGACATGAGCAGGTATTATGTAGGAACACACGAGATAAATGACACCGTCTGCTCCCATATAGCTTATATCGTCCCGTGAAACATCTAGTGTAACAATTTGGGAGAAAATGATTGCGGGTATGAACAATTGGGGTAGTCAACCCTTTACAAGTAGGACGAGGTGCGACATGGGAAATTCGATCTGTAGATGACAGCGTCTGGACCTAGAGCCTAGGGGGTTAGGGGGGTTAGACATTTCACCAGATGCAATGTGTCGATGGTTGCACGCACGGAACGCTCATGATCCATTCTATGGGGGTCTATGGGAGGGTAGGAATGGTGGGGTTAAGAGTTGGATCTGATACCCAGTGAGAGGGAACACTAGGTTAGGGAGTTCTGCGACTCTGGCAAGGATGGAAAACTCGGCGAGCCTGGGCAAACCTGGAAAGCTAGACGATCCTGGAAAGCTGCGGTGCCATTGGGATATTTCAGCTAGCAGAGTGATTTTATGGGGCAGTCCAGACCCGGCGTCAAGCAATAGATCCATAGATCCATCTCTAGAAGCCGACAGTCATCCACCGGCCAAAGCCAGACGTGTTCGGGGTTCAGTTACCGTTGATGGTGAACCAGTTTGGGGCGGGCGGTGAATATGCAAGCCGTCACCGTATACGGAATACCCGACAAGGTAGATCCTTCAACCAACCAATCGTCTGCCTGCAAGACACAAACGAGTCAAGCCCTATCTCTTTTTGGACCAGGGGCTCCGAGCAGCTAAAGCAGGTGAATGCCACTAGGAGCTTATACCGGCACTTCTATTACATAGCGGTAGCGCTGAGGCGCCGTGACTTCCACGAGAAATCGGAGATGCACAGCATAAAAGACAGGAAACAAATGAGAAGTCGGAACGTTGTAGCAGTCAGCGGCTATACCCTTTGTTGTATTGGAATTGCATGTACTGCACGGAGCCGCGAAGTCGCGCCAGGTAGCACCCCCTGAAGCTGCATATAACCAGAGTCAATTCAGGTTGCGGTAGATCGAGTGCGACGTCTGATGGCGCACCTAGCTGGGCAGCTGGGGATCTAGTCGAAGCCATCTGAGAGGCAATGGCTTCGGACAGAGCCAATGGCTCACACACGCCAGCTGTATCACCGAAAACGCGCATCCTCTGCATCAACGACAAGTTGTCCCACACGATACTAACTTTTCCGTTGACCAGTCATTTGTATCTCTAGACACACATGATAGAAATTCGATCGATTGCTTTTCGTGTGGTAGGCATCCCAACATCTTACTCT